GCCATGAAGAGCATTCAAAAACGATTCAAAAGCATCAGGACCACTTCGAGAAAGCTCATCCAAGAGGCAAAATGCCTTCCCCTCACTTGTAGTTTGAGCAAGAATGGATTCTTTGCTTGCTTCGTCCAAAATTTCTTTGGTAAACAGTACTTCTGTTATTCTCCTTGCATCAATATTTCGCGAGATGTGAAGCCGAAACTTTCTTAAGACTTTCCTGTGTGATTCCTCCATGTTCTAACATATCAGGAAAAGTTATTTCTGAGTAAAGCAAACGTTTTCGGCCAGTTTATAGGACGACCTCTCAGTTACTGGCTTTACGGAACAAGGTCCTTCAAGCTTTCCGGGAAATTCCGGAAATTATAGAAGAACGCCTGCGTGGTGAGGCCACCGGAAACTGAACCCAGCTCAGCCCACCATGAACAATAGTAATGGAAAGTCCCGCCTGCCCTTTTGTACGATACAAACCAATCATTACAAAATAAACATTTTCCACGGGGAAACTGGCCCAGTTCTCTTCGAAATGTAAACATAGCTGTGTGTTTTACATTTAACTGCCTTTTCAAGGTTTTTCGCTGTCTTTGGAGTGTTTTGATGATACTTTATTCTCTATGAGCCGCAAGCCGAAAGCCGCAACCCGATTCGTTACCGTATAATTTCCTTTGAAGATTAACCATTTATAATTTGCGAATGGAAACAACTGTCGGCTTAGGGTGGTAGTTTTTAGGAGCACTAAGTGTGCTAAGCCAGCTGTGTATTGTGTACTTCCTTATTTAAAAGTCCCTCATTAGTGATTGTAAATGTATTGGATTTCCGCTGAGCTTTACTCTTTCCTGTCACATAGGGACTTACTCCCGGGGCACTTGTTAAAAACAAAAATAAACATCAAAAGTGGAAAACGTTTTTTTTTACAGCCAAAATTTCAACAGTAAAAAAGACACATCAAAAATAGTACTCAGGCTACACCACTGTCTCTCCTAAGTCTATAACATTACTAGGCCTGACAAATATGAAGGGTTCGTCCATATTACCTTAAAAGTCCTTAAAAACCACAGTGTAAAGATAACTGCAATGGTAAATGTTAAACATTATCCTCGTTTGAGTGCGGGCCGTGTTTGCTCTCCCGTTATCGATAAGGCCGACTATGAATTGACCTAAGCTCATGTAGCGTGACGGTCAGCAGATGTTTTACAAGTCAATAGACTTCTAATGTACTCCAAAGATCAGAACCACGGCAAGACAGGAAACGTAACCGTTTACGCGCATGTGGCAAATTCTGCAGAAGATAATGGCCGGGTCGAAGCTTGTAAAATTAGTGTTTTATTTTTCAGCATTCCCTACATCCAATATAGACACTTCTAGCGTGAAATAAGGCGCTCTTAAAATTTTAAAACCTAAAGCCACATCGAATACAATTAAAACATAAGTGACTAATAACTTAACGCTTGGGATGGTTATTGTTAAGACAGCCAATCAGAGGACAAGTAGCGAATTCCCCATGACGACTGCTTTAGTTTACGACTTGCGGTTTGTCTTAAGAGCTGACTTATGTCGATTTCTCGTGGATGTCGATACAAAAGACTTTCCTGCATTACAGTAACGGCGAACAGATTTCATCTAGCCACCTTTAAAGTGCATTTTGTCGCTAAAAATGCCACAGTGGGTACAATTGCCTCCGAATTTGCTACCGGAGAAACACACGATGGGAAAGTCAATCTACACTACTGATTATTCTAGCAAGAGACCTGGCTTTCAACTTCATCTTCAAAAGGCTCGCGGATTTCCAAGCAACAAACATCATCCACCGGTACCAAAGGTTCGCCGTCCTAATATACTCGCTTGATCTCCCAGTTAAGCCGAGTCATGTAGAAGTTAGTTAACATTTAAACTTAATATTTGCGCCACATAAATTCGCATGACCTCCTTTCAGGATCCCGGCTTTTCCGCAGTATTAAAGCAAAGTCACCATTATACTATGTTTCTCTGTCGGTCGAATTTCACTGTTTACTAAGCAAAATGATTTTCATCAGTTTAAATAGTAATGAATGATTATAACACGAATCTTTTCCCCTCAGAAACCCGACAGAAAGACGATGCGAGCGCATCAGACCGGCAATTACCTCAATTTTAAAGAAGATTTCGAGAGAGCCTTGTCCACTGTAAGCTCACACCAAATGCGGAATTTTCGATCAGATGTTGACATAAAAACACCCGACGACTCAAGATCGGCAGGTACTTTAATTAATTTTCAGAACTGGATAATTCCGTGTCTACCACTGTCCTTACATTTCATGACGCAAATTTCTTTAATGAGTTGCCAATATGTTGTTACAGAACGCATTTGAATCACGAAAATTCAAGTAGGAAGGTCACAAAGAAGCCAGCGAGAATTTTTTGGTACAATCCATAGTTTTCATGTAAAAGCGCATACTTTAGACAATACAGATATTAGCCGAAAGCTTTTAATCCTTCAGACGCACCAAGTTGTGAAGCCGATGTATCTTACTGTTTATTTGAGTGATCCAAAATGTTTATTCAAACGATAATTTCAAGAGGACAAGGGAAAATATGACCTTAATTACTCTTTTTTGGTCTTAATTCTGAGAGACCAAGGAATTTCACTGAATGAATCCTGAGAGGAAAAAAGTAAACACGTGCAGATTATTTTGAAAATATCTCTTCGCTAGTTGTCGCCCAAAGTAAACTTGAGACACTAAAGGACTTTGACAGCTGGGTTTTTAGCACACGAGAGGTGTTAAAACGGCGAGTAAGAACTGAATCGAGCATGAGCAATGAAAAAACAAATGATTAAATCGGATGAAAGCAAATTACACTTGCGATATATACATATTTATGATTTCGTTAGGCTTGTGTTTTTTACTGTTTTTTCTTAGATTTGTTTTTCTTGCCTAGCCACGCACTCGGAAAGGGCATTGTTACAGAAATTTATTCAGCCAACACTAGAATTAGTGGAGGAGGCATGGCGAGGAGAAGCGACCAGCACAAAACGGAATAGAGGTATTTGAACAATGGATAGAAAGTTGGTTTCACACCTGTGTATGGGTAATATTCATTGAAATGATTTTTTCCATTTTATCGGCAGATCGCCTTTATGGTGTGGCTGGACAGAAAGTTGAGCTACACAGTAGACCTGAAAGACGCGAGGTATGACATCAACAGAGTAAGAACTTATTTGAGTGAGGAATTGCAGCAGACGTTTTCCACCCTTTTTGTTTTGAAGCTATACTTTTGCTAAAATTGATTTTCATTTCTTAATCTAGTTAGTGAGGTCAAAAGAAATGTCTACTTAGCAGTTTCCTGAAGTAGAATTTGCGAACTGAAAGAATAATGGGAAGAACAGAATCTAGCGAAATGATCGCCGGCACAACGTGAAGAAGAGAAATTCTATTCTGGGCACATTACAAGATTATTTGTACAAACGCACTGGGGGAGGTGTACTCTCTTATGTCTTCCAATTAAATGAACTTACATTTGTTTTCCGTTCAGGCGAAAATGGAGCGCCCTGTTCTGCCTGGTGTTAACAATTGGTTACGGTCTTCAACCGAATATGGTAATTTTAATGCTTTTCCTTTGAGAATGTTTTCTTCCATGATTTCCCGATCACCAGTGTTCTCCAGTTGTTTTGGGTTAAATTAGTTTGTTCTTTTCCTCCCAGAGAAAGCAGTTGTCCACAACTTCATAGATACATTAAACAAGGCGTCCTCGAGTGTTGTACAAGTGAAACAGAGTGCACCCAGAGCCGCAGAGAAAACTACGAAACCTCAATTTTCAAAGGAATTGTATTTCCAACAACGGGCAAAAAGTGCTCGCTCCAAAAGAGTATCAGAACGCCCCACACTTCCACCGCGTCCCAAATCTGTTGGATCAGTAAGGTTAGTGACTTTCTCAAGGAAAAGTGTGTGTAAGTGTGTGTCACTGAAGCTGAAAATGACAATTCTTTATTCGCTGAACTTCAGAAAGTGTTGCAAGGCGGACCATAGAGAGTTGTAAAGTCAGTATTTTTGGATTTGTTTTGATCGCTATGTCTTTTTTTACCCGACGAGCTGCTCTGAGTACGATAATGTAGGATCACCACTGCCGGTCTTTCGCGATCTTCAACTCTGCCTGACTGACACAAAAGTGAGAAAATATCGAATGGAAAGTAAAGGATCTGGGAAGAGTGCTAACTCTTACTAGTTTGCCTCCTCCACTCATTCATTCCTGTCAGTCCACGCATGGTATTATTTCAGCGGAGTATGCACTTTTCTTACAACTGATCAAATTTTGACTTACTCATCAGGAATGAAGGCAAAGTTGCTGAGATAACCCAAAATCAAGTCGTGGAACATGCACACCCCCATCACTTTAATCACGGGGAAGGAAAGTGTGAATTTTGTGATTATTTAAGAGTGAAGAGATTATTGGAACACCTTAACAAGTAAGTTGCACGCCTTCTGTGAAGTAGTTTGTAATGTTTTGCAGACAACAAGACGGGAAGCACTTTTCCTGTTTCAAAGCAAGGGTTTAATGCTTTGGGCCATTGGTTATTCCCTATTCCTTCCTGGTTCTCCTTGACTGTGGTTACACTCTGCGCACATTTTTTGGAAGTGTGTGAAGGGAAGAGTAAAGTTATAACCGCTATGATAAGACCAAAACTTTAGTTACAAGACAACAAAAGAGAGTAACGATGAAGAGAATTAAACCAACGTCCAAAATGGGTTGATGCTAGATAAGAGGTCTCTGTTACGCAATGTCGTTGTCAGTTCATAATATGTACAATTCGCGATGAGAGTTCGTAATTTGTCAAATTAAATGATTTGTTTTAATTTCATGTCTCCAGGTACGGATCCTGTGGTATAGGAGAAGCAACCCTAACACACTTACTAAGGCCACGAGTGGACCCTACATACCACACAAGTTTTGAAGATTACGACTACGTACACGAAAATTCATTTTTCACTAACACGAGCGCAAGAGATCGAGGCTACTTCATAATAGCTCCTGACTGGGTTTCAGAAAGGAAGGGTGTTATGTCTACCCATTACCAATGACCAGCGGTCATTTCTACGTTCCACATGCTCCCTACGGATCGAGATGAAGTTTCTCAACAGTTAAACAGAGACACAGCACTTGATGGTGACCCATGCATCCTTCTTCGCTGATGAGGGACTATTAAAACATTCAAAATCGAAAAAAATGTAATGTGTCAATACGCCCGATTGGAACGTCAAAACTATTTACAATTATATTGTCCCAGTCGCGCGCCTTGAAAAGTTTCTTGCTACTAGTAATATTTGTTATCGTGCAAAGAAAAAAGAGACTTTTTTAGAGTTAATATATTTTCATCTGTACGATCTCACGACTAAGAACATAGATTTCACTAAACATTTGATTTCGTAAACTATTTAAACGGTAGATGTAATTTTGTTTGATGTAAATATTAATCTAAGAAGACCCGCTCTATGATATTTAATATATTCTAAAAATCCAGTTATCAGTGTCTGTGCAGAAGGGTTTACATTTAACAAAGCGGATCAACAGCCGACGTCCTTCACCTAACTCATCCTAGACTCGTCTTCTTCTTGTTACCTAGCTCACCAGCCGTCATTCCAGGCCTGTGCTCCATGATTGACAGCTTCTCTATTTTCCCTCCTTGATCGAGTAACTGCCGAAGATTCGCCTCGTTTTCTCCTCCGCATCTCTCTCTGTTTCTTTTCTAAACTCTTTTTTACTCTGGTTCTTATTTCTTTGGAATCTATTGGTGACGCAGTCAAGGGTTTCGATTGGTTGCTAGCATCATCATCCGGGCTATTGCCCACCACGTGACTCTTTGTATCACGGTAAGGCCAATATAGTTTGTTTTGATTACTCAGCTCTTTTAAATCCCAGTCCTCGCTCTGTTCTTTTTCTGGGATTTCTTTGCTCGTTTTCGAGTCTTGCTCGTTGGAGAGGTCATGTTCGGGTCCTCGAGTTTCCACTGAGTTATCTTAAAGTAGAAAAAAGGGAAATGAAAGGCATTCAATATATTGTGATAAGTAGGCACGTTTACCACCAACTGTTGGACATTTTAGGTGTGATTTATTTTAAGGCACTATTTCGAAGGTAACACATACAAATGCCCTTCCAACCTACTTTCACACCTGCATTGACTATAGATCCCACCAACCTTCCAAGCTTTGCTCAGCTATGTCATCGTTGTCACTTTCGTCTTGTTCATCTGATGTATTTTTCTCTTCATTATCTGCTTTCCTAACGCTGCCACCCTCACAAGCGTTGAAGTCAGCTGTAGCCTGTGTTATATAGAGGTTCTGTGTCTGAATATAAAGTATTGGTGTTCCCATTGTAAATGCGAATCGTCAGGGAGGAAACGTATCCCTGTTTATTTATTCTAAATATGACTACGCTTGAACTTGTTGGAAAACATGCTTGAGAGTTTCCTTAAATTCGTGAAAAGCAGTGTGCAAAGCCTCGTCGCATATCGAACAAATCAATCAGCTTTTCCATCTAATGACATTAGAAAGCAATAATACGTTTCCCAGACATCTTCCTCAGTCTATAGGAGTGCTACCTAATACCAGATATAATACGTTTCCCAAACATCTTCCTCAGTCCAATAAGAGTGCTATCTAATACTAGAAATAATACCTTTCCCTAACATCTTCCTCAGTCCAATAAGAGTGCTATCTAATACACCTTAAGTATTACATCCAGCCACCTTAAAAGTAAGAAAAGGTTTTCGTGAGAGCCTGCTTCCCCCCCTTCCCCTTCACCCCCATCCAGCATTGGGTGGTGTTATGACATACCTCATCAAATGAATCAGACATGTCTCTTGTAAAACCACTGGCTTCCACTTCAACATCCAAGTTATGGAGTCGTCTGTGGGGAGAAAGTTAGAACCTAATGAAATATTGAAAACTTACTATAAATAGCACACAACAGTCTTCCAGAGAAGCTCAGCATTATTCCAAGTGAGTCACTGTTCATTTAACTGTTCTCATAACATTCTAGCTCAACTTTTTTAACTTACTTTATGTCAGCAAACTGAGGATAGAGTTCACTTGAATAAGAAAATCTCCGAAAAAAGAAATCTCTAATGCACTGTACATCTCTGTCAAAATACCTTGAACAAGGAAGAAAAAAAGACTAAATGAAGTTTGTAATGCTTTGTTGTTACTCTATACTATGCAAATTTCTTTTATTTTTTATCTCTTGATTATTTTTCATCATCCTTCACCTTACATTTTATTATTATTACACAGCACAAAGGTTTTTATAATTAATCACCAGTTGATAAAAGTCAGGAAACATGCAATCCCTGTTAACAAACTCTTGAGTTTGATTTACAATTTATGTACATATAGCTTTTCATTTGCCTGTCATTTCACCAAAACCAAAATGATGACAAGAGAATACCAGTGGGTACATCATCATAGCCTCATACACTAAAACACAATGATACCTAACTAGCAAATAATTTAGCTTTATCTGAGTGCTTGACTGAGGGTGGTTTCCCAAAGAGACAAATTAATAAAATCAATTATTGGTGACATTCAAGAATAAGAATGATCTGAAGTACTTTCATTTCAAAATTAATAATTAATAATTTATTAGGTAATGCTAAGATTTTGGCGACCTTTTTTTTTAAACTAGCCCTTTACAACCTTACTAAAGAAACTGTGGTGCTGCATCTGTGGGAGAGTATAACAAGGCAATTTGATATTATCAACTGAGCTGATACAGTAAACTGGCCACAGTTAAGAGTTTTAAAGCTAACATTTCAAGCATCAGCCCTTTGTCAGAGCAAATGGAGGAATTGTGGGTTTTGTGTGTGTTTATATGCACAAAACTGTGAAATGGCTTACCACTGTGCATTTGGATGGGATATTGACACCATCTGTGGAAAATCAATAACTGTTACTTGGTCTCTGTCATTGATGATTAAGTTGAATTCATTAAAATCACAGTGAATCAGACCAAAGCTTCCAAGTCGTACAATCAACTCCATTAAGTCACTGTATAACTCTGACGGATCAGAAACATCATGAACTTGACACCTGAGGAAGGTAAAGTAATCTGGGATATCATCACAAGATAATACAGTGTATGCTACCCCCTGACATTCAAAACTGCACATCTTAAGCAGCTGTAAACTAAATACAGAGAGCCTATCCCCATTAAAATATCATCATTTTGAAATTCCAGAAAGTAAGGACACACTCATTTGTAGGTTATTTCACAGGAAGGAATAACCAGAGTTACACAAAAACTACAGTTAAGGACAGGACTGAACTTGACTCACAGCAAGTTTAAAAACTACAACTCACAGTGGGTGTCCATCAACAAGTTCCATAACTACAGCATGACGATTAAAATCAATTGGTCTTGGAACAGGATATCCATTGTCATGAAGGGCCTAATAATAGAACAAAAATTAACATGAATACAACATTTTCACAGATCAAATTGGTTCCAGATTTGTTTTCACAATAGCTCAGCAAATTATCTGACCTAAATAACTCCGAATGAAAAGTATTGGTTAGTTCTCCAGCTGCTCTTTTTTTTGGAAAGGAATAAACAATCTATCAACTCTATATGAAAAATTAAAAAGATATATTCTCACAGTACCTTCATGTAAGCATATTCTTTGACGGCAGCTAAACGTGACAGATAAAGCCACGAGACATTTTTACGATGTTTCAAGTAGTCCCGCTTCTGCTTGAGCTTGCGAAAAGATGTTCGTCCAAGTCTATTAATGAAGTTAAGTGATAAATGAAAATGAAATATTAAGTAAAATAAAAAGAGTGTTTATTAATTCCCTTTTTATAGGCTATAATAATGTTACATTTGAACCCAACATCATTTTCTGATTGTTACTAAATAGACAGAACTGTAGGGAAGAAGCTGCTGCTAATCTGAGCTCTGTGGCATGAACAGTTATCGACAACACAAAGCCAAAAGTGTATGTGATAAAAAAATGCAACAGTGATTGTGGACAAGAACGATAGTTCAAAAAGTTCATGGGTAACAAACTCATTGTTTGTCTCCTGTAGTTGTCCTTTCTAACAAGACCATGACATTTCAGCGACTGATCCACATACTGCTGGTGTTTTTCAGCCGACGAGGTTTACTTTATATGTGTCACCCTATGGCCATTATTTTTGGCTTTAATTGACTGGTATTCAGCAGCTTTGATTGACCGATTTCTAGGAAATGTTCCTTCAAGGGTCTGCTGAACAACAGCTCTTCTTTAGATGTGTCTCTTGACTATTGGCATACATTCTTCTGTCTGTGCTGATATTGTTGGGGTTAAGTCCAGTGTAGCTTGCCTCTTTCACCATTAAGTTAAACAAGGAGGATCACAATCATTAAACTTTACTTTGTTCCTGAGTAATTAGTGTCCATTGTTGTGGGCTTCTTCTGAAGCAGCCATGGTCTGGGTCTCCAAGAGGCAAATGTCTCTGTCATGCTCCCTGATTCTGTACTACATAGGTTTTTAAGTTTTGCCAATATAAATTTCATCACATTCTGAGGGAATCCACTAAACCATGCCATCTTGGTTTGCCTCGTCAACAGCATTTATTCAGTCAGCCTGTCCAATACCAGTGAGTCAAAATAGTTTTGCATATCTCAGTCAACCTCATTGCTTAAAAAAAGACTTGCAGAGCGGAACCAAACTATGTATCATCTCCACACAAACCTGTGTAATTTGAGAGCATGCTGGTTCTCTTCTTCATCAGCAATGATAAAAATATCTACAAATAACAGAAGACCAAATGTATATTTATAAGTTGTACAAAAAATGAATCTCACAAACCTATATGTATACTATGTAACCCTAACCCACTAAAAAAATATTTAACTGCCTTACAAAAAATTAACTTCTGGGTAAATTTACACATTTCAATCCCCTGTAGATTGAAGACAGCTTGAAGGTGACAAAATTGCACAAAAAACCTGCAATTGCCATTGACTTTGAGTTTTCTGGCATGGAGTTGTAAAAGTTACAAAAGTAAGGTAGTAGTTGTTCAACCAAGGTACCCTTTCCTCAATGTAGCTATGATCAGCCTTCTTAAGTATTTGGACTGTTTGTAAGTTATGGCATCCCCATTTCCATAGGGTCTGATACCGAAAAATTGCAATTGCACACTTGTTGTCTACAAAACCTATTATGATATAACAGTTCGATCATTTTGGATTAAATGAAGATTCAACAGAACAAATTCCATATTAGGAAGTGAATTCTAATTTTCTTGTCTGACAAAAATTAATTTTTTTCTGACTTATATGCTTCAATTAAGTAGAAGCATTCAAGATTTTAAACAAAAGTGATAAAGGTATACTAAAATGATGAAAACACTGAAGTACTTATAATAACCCCATGATTAAGCTTAGTTCATTGTTCATCTGTGGCTTTTAATTCTGGGTGGCATCTGTCAGAAGGAAGCACTTAATCAAAGAAATACAGTAATATTGAGTGAGGAAAAAGTAGTTTATTTGCTAACCCCTTTTGGCAACTTGAATTTTGGTGTAATATGAAGAAAAGAAGTATCATTAAATACCTGACTCCTTTCCAACACCAATTTGATTGCCAACTGATTGGACACTTCCTCTTGTCGTCAAAGCCTTCAGAGCAAGGTAGTCATATCCACTGAATGTAAGTCTGTAGCCTTCAACTTTGTCAGAAAATAATCAGCACTAGCATTAGTAAGTTAAACAGTAATTCTAACACAAATGAGACCATTACTGATATATACTAATAATAAGTTACTTTCTCAAGACAAAACTTGTTGGAAGACACTTCCTATTGCCGAATAAGATAATTAATATGAATGGGTGTTAAGCTTAAATATATAAACAGGACAGTTTTGATTGTTCAGTAAATGTCCAATTTCATGTTTGCTTCTTATCCCTTCAGCACTGAGGAGTATGAAATGAAACAATTACATCTTTACCTTCAATTGACAGAACTCAAACAATCAAATATTAAAAGTAGTTCTCTCCAGACTTCCTATCGATTTGATGCACCATTTACGCAACTTCTATCCGCTCACTTTTTTAATTCAAATATCTCCCACAGACATTTTTATTTCGTCTTACCACGGCCAGACTTTTCATAACAAACCAATTTATGTTTGGTGAGTTCACGTAGAATTTTGTGGGAGCCTCCGTGTTTTAGGTCAGCAATTGAAGCTACAAGAGGGGTAGGTACCAATTCATGATTCTTCATACCCATTTCAACCTAAAATAAGAGGAAAGAGAATGTGTTCGTGCATTCTTGCCAAAAAAATGCCTTAAACAGAGCAGCATACAGCAGGACCACTGGTTAAAAAAAATACGACAAAGATGTGCCTGAGATAACATATTGTTTATTGACCCATTAAAACAAACTTAAAGACGACTGCAAGAGACCATAGACATCTACAGCTTAGCAAAGTTGAAATGTACACGGATGTCACGATAATACTATTACAGACTAACACTTCACTTTTTGATAAAAATGTTCTCTAGTGATTCCTGTATGATTATAAACCCAAGAATCTTACAGTGCCTAAATAAAGGCATGCTAGAATCACTGATTTATTTTAATAACTGGATCGTTTTTTCTAATGTCAACATTTCTTTCTTTGAAATACAAACATTTTGTCAAATAGACTATGTTTAGGATAAACGTGGAAAATTATCTTTCCTTACCGCTGTAAGAACTCTGAATTCCTCAGACGAGAGGTATCGCAGCATAGATACATTCAATTTACCCATCTTTAAAAGCAAAACAATTTGCAGGAATGATCTACATAACATGAAACAGTTGCATCGCCAACCTCATCGACGCACATGTTGATCTGAAAGATGGAACCAACCGCGGTGGTGTTGTGGTATAGTACCAACTTTGAATCCCTATGCGCCCGTTGTGCATCGCGCTGGCCAATATTACGTAATAACTCTACTCCACCCTGGAACTTTAATCAAACCATTCCACCCCAAAGTTTCAGTGCACCCGAATAACAAAGATTCCAATATCCTCTGGAGATTGAGATACAAACTAACAAACCATAATAATAAGTAGAAAAAGAGAGAGACCTGAAACCACTTTTTGCAAGATGAGGAACAGAGTTCACAGTATATCTGCAGGATATTTCCTTCTATTATTAGTAAAGTGACAGTCTAGTCTAGTCAAAGAAAAAGAAATTCAAGACGTGCGCTCGATGATTTCTTTATTTTAACGCAAAAAGAGTTTCTAGGCACGAAGAAATGCAATTTTTGAAGATGCCTTTGAGCAGGTTATCCAAGGCTTGAACTGAGGGTTGCAAAGTCCGAATGTTGCCGGACTTTGAGCAAGAAAATATAAACCAATTTTGACATTTTATTATCTCTTGCTTCGAGATGTAATTTTTTCAGGTTATAAATGTACTGTTTCAGTTAATATATTGTGCGCACGATATGAAGGTGGAGCTAGGATACGAACATTATGAAATAAGGAGTGTTGTGGTTAGGTAGCATTCCTCCGATTAAATCACTGGAAGAGCGTATCTAAGTTCCCTCAACTGACCCACTACAGGCCTAGAACTATTGAATAAGTTAGGAATTGCATGAATTGAATGTATGTATGTAGTCTATATAAATTACACAACAATATATACTTGCAAACAAACGTGCAAGGTTTACAAAAATTCATCACTTAAGAGAAAACTAGTTGTAATCTGGATAAAACTAAAAAGACATCTGTTAATAAAAGTTCGCTTAAAACGTTCCGTACGAATACGAGGTAAAATGTAGTTATGGCCGCAAGAACGGAGCGACCTTCCCTCTGCATGGGAAGTAGGTCACGTAGACAATGATCGTAGTCTTTCGTGATCTGTTCCCATAACAATTTATCTCTGACACGAAGAATATCTTTAATGGGTGTAAAATTCAATAAATAACTATATTTGTGGGCACGTTTACAGAACTTATCGATTCGGCTAAGGTGTTTACATTCTAATGTGCTTCCCCAAACTTCAATTGCACACAAAAATAATGACATAACTATGCTATTAAAAAGAACCGTCAATCCCTCCTGCGAATAGCCATTAGGAAGTTTTACTCGCTTATTTTCAACCGAGATCTACTAAAATCTATTGTAATGGAGCTTTTAATTTGTTCACGGCGTGCGTGTCTTCGTGAAACGCCATACATGTCTTTTAAAAAGAA